AATAATAAGAAAGACAAAAGATTTTGATTTGACTCTGATGAGAAAAGTAATGTTCTTGTCACTCATTTTGAATTGGTACAATCTCCTCAGCTGCTTGTCTAGGTACTCAAAGAACTCGAGTGACTGAATCATAAGGAGTGTTAAAAAATAAGCAAAGAAGTGGGAAAAGACAGAGTATGCAGCAGCTAACCCTAACCGTAACCCAGGAGAGGACATGGACACTAGGGACTCAGAGCAGAGGAGGAAGGCCCCCTCCCCCATACCCAAAACTGGACTGGCAGACAAACAGGGTTGGGGTGGGGGGAGTGCATCGACGGACCACATGGTTGGACAATCCACTGAAGGACAGCCGGGCAATAGGGATGCCAAAGACTACACAGAATGTATTTGCTGTAGCACAATGAGGCCAAGCAGCTGAAAGGGGCTTCTTTCGAAGAACGACGATGCTGGACTGCTCTTCTGGCACATTTGGTTCTGGTAACTGTGGTTACCACATGAGGTTCTTCACGAGCTCTGTGTGTGTGTGTGCTTCTTGAGGGTAACTGTGTCACGTGTTCTGTGAGTTGGCTGGGCCCTGATAGGAACCGCTGTGTCACGGGGAGATGTGTTTGTGTGGCAGGTAGATTGAACAACCATAATTAAATGGGGTGTTATGCAGAATGACTGTCTTGCTTGCTCTGTTGGTGACTGGTGGTTCCGGAAGAGCCTGTTGTGAAGGGTGGGGAGATACACCTCTTTTTTGACTTGTTAATTCAAGCGCCCCACCTCCACCCCATCTCCACCTTTGCAGCTGCCCCTTGGTGAGGTCCTGTCCCCTGTCCTTCTCCTATGGCCAGGAGGCTGCCTCTTAGACAAAAGGGTTAAGACAGAATTTCTTGGACATTTTTATTTCTTGTGAAAGTACATTTGTATTGTCTTCTGGTGCTCCGCCTGCTGCTGTTAAATAATGAAAATTAGCAAGTTAAAACTGAAATTGCAGTTTATTATCCATGAAATGCACCATTTAAAAAGTATAAGAGATAATACTATGTTTATTTCTTTCATCATTATTTGATGAGGGAATGCAAGGACTTTTTAATTATTCTATTCTGGTCTATGTTTTCATAACAAAGGGTTTTCAGATCGAGACCAAAAATTGATGAATATTCCAAAGATCTTTTTTTCCTAACAAAGTTATGCATATTATGTTTTTGTTTTATTGTATTATAATATAATGCTTTTTTATATTATTGTATATACAGTATATTAGTTATATTATCAAGGGAATTTGAATTTCAACTTGAATCCTGTTTTTCAATGGATTAGAAATAGAAAATAAATGACTATTTTTGATGATTAATTTGGAGATTGTGACTTTCCTCAGAGCTTCATCAATGCTTGATAATGCTCTAGAAGGGAATAGTACAACAGCAAGAAAGAACAAGTGGAACAATGGAACAAGTAAAGATTTATCCTCTGTAGAAAGGAAAAAAGACACAATGTTTCAGTTGTGAAGCTTCTTCAGCTGACACCTGAAGACCGAGGTGAATGAATAAATCTTTATCTGTGTCTTTGCAGCGTACACGTCCTGACGCAGCTCCCTACTTGAACTGGAACACTGTATCTATTTCTCACTTCCTCTTATGCATCATCTCCCTCAGTAAACTGAGAATGAATAAGATCGTTCTTAATCATGAATCATGAAACTACTTTGCTACTTTATTTATTTTTGTATATAATTGTAAAAATTTAAGATGTAGTTTGAATATATTGCTTTTCACAATTTCTCCAATCTTTACAGTCACACATACTGTCACGCCCAGTACACCTAGAGGGCGCTCTACTTCTCTCCTGTTCCTAGTATCCTGTGATTATTCATGTCTTTCTGGTGTGTCTTGTTGTGTAGCCTATTTACTTCCTGCTTCTGGTCTGCTTCTCGCTCAGCACTGGCGTTCGGATGTCCTGAGACCCGCCTAGCACCAGGTCACTCCTGTCCATAGCCTGAGGGCATAGGTTTCTATGCGGCATTTCCTGAACAGCTGAGCCCGGGCTAACCCCCGTCTCGCTGCTACGAATAGGGTCTATTTTCGCTCTCCTGCCATTCCACGGTTTGTTCCTTCAGACATCTGTGACACATACACTGGACTGAGAGAAAAAAAAGCTCCTGGAAGTCCTAAACATTTGCCGTTCACTGTAAAAAATGTGCCATTTATGACATCAGTGCAAACACAGTTCTTTAAAATAGACTGTGTCTACTGAAGAAGAAATCAAGACCTGACCTGAGTCATTGTTAGATTGCATAAGTAACTCCTTCTCTTTAGGCTGTTCATCAGACCGTTCAGCATTACCTGAAAAAGAGAATCATAAGAGTAATAATGTGACCAACTTAAATGAACAATGTCAGTACTGTGGCATCTGGTGATTGCTCTTATGACTAGAATGCATTGGTTCCCATTTGGGCAGCAAAAGATTTCAGATTTAATACAGGGTTACTGAACTGCGTATCAGAGAGATATTAGTTCTGTAGTTAGAAGATATTAGTTGTGCCATGTTGCTTTTTACTATCCTCTGTAACTGAATTCTGTTTTTCACAATTCTGCCTAAGAGGTTAAGCGTGGTCTGTAGAGTTTCCCCTGCTCCTCACTGTGTTAAACTTTTCAGATCTCTGTGAGAGCTGTGTGATTTTCTGATTAAAGAATGTAAATTCTATCCTGTCTTACCACTGGAAAATGCTTTAACACTAAGGTGCACAGCACTAGATAGTGTAGGCATTTCATTCCCACATAGAATACTCACACAGGGTGGTACAGACTGGAGTCAGTATTCTGTAGTTAGTGGTACGTGTTAAGAAGCATATTTAATACTTTGGTGTTAATTTGACTGGCAGAGAAAATGGTAATTTCTATAAGAATAAGAACATAATGCCTTTCTAATAGCCAAGAGAATGTGGTTATTCCAGTGGTTACCTGCAGTCAAAAATAATCTGATCTTTCCTTTTGGAAAATAAAAACAGTGATGTGGTTTTTGACACAATCTGGACTACTCAACATTTAATCATGTTTGTCACAATAATGCAAATGTTTTCTAAACTGCCTGTAAGATTTTAACAACCATATAAACACTTAAAAATAACAAAGTAAAATGTTCTTGTTTTGTTTGTCTTTGGAGATCTTGGAGAAATGTATTTATTCGTCTATGCGGTAAGACATCAAGTCTTATACCAGTTGAGTTGGTTTTCAATGGCACTCAGCACTCACAGTAAATAATGAAGAGAACATACCTTTTTTATAAAAATAACAGGATACTATTATTGCTATTATTACTAAGACTGCACAGGATCCTACAGCAATGGATGCAAGACTCCAGGTTGGAAGGTTGTCTGAGAAACAAGCAAAATTAATTAGCATTGAACTCAGAAAGTGTACTTTGTAAGATGCATATAGATGTGGTAAGATCCATCTAACAATGTAAAAATATTGTAAAAACAATTAAACTCCTGAACACAGTGTACTGCATCTTTCATAAAAGATGTTCATTTGTTCAGGCAGTCCTTAAATAAGTGATATACTGTATTAAATCATTCAAACTCTTGCTCCACTTAAAAATAGTTTTTTTTCTATATACAAAAATACCAAACAGTCCATGCTTCCTGCACTTACATTGCACATGAATGATTTATTGTCCCCAGTAAAGGGGACAGGAATGTGACTGTCTGTTTTACTTTGTTTTTTTTAACTGTTCTTAATTGTGATGTACAAGTATAGACAAATAATGATATACAGTAATACACATGCCTACAGTAACACACATGTAGCACTTTAGATAAGAATTTTATGTAAAAAAATGCATTTTTATGTACAACATAAGTCGACAAGTGACCATTTGTCTTACAAACTTTTTGAAAATATAAAAGTTATTTAAGCGTGTAATAAGTAAGACATAAAAAGGTATAATCACAAGGAAAAACAACTACTAAACATAATATTCAACAATGTACTGATTTAAACTACTGAACATGTCTGAAAAAGACAACACTGAGGTGTAAGAATATAAAACCCTTGATTTTAGTGAGACAGATTGTCCTTTTATCCGTATTAACAAAACAATTTGCATATCAGTAGTCTGAGTACCAGTTCTGTCAGAAATATAAACTAAAAAAATGAAATCTTACCTCTTCTAATGCAGTTTGTAATTTTAATAGGGTCACTCCTGGCTTCACTCCTTTCATTGCTGGCAATACATATGTATTCTGTGTCATCAGTCTCATTTCTCAGTTTCTGAATAATCGACCCGTCTTCAATTTTGCTTCTAGTGCTGCTCCATCTGTAAGTGGTGTCTGTACTTTTTGCCTTGCACTCTAAAATCACTTCAGAGTTGGTAACCGTGCAATTCACTACTGGTTTAGGTACTCGGGCTGTGGGCAGAACAAAGCATTTGTAACACTTTAGAAACATTAAAAGTTGTGATTTTGATATTAAGGAAAGTATTTTCTCATTTTGTGAAAGTAATTGTAAAAGTTCACATGCACATCTAAGAGATAAAGTGCATAGGAGAACAAATGGGTTTTATAGTTTCTGTTTAATGATACTTTTGGAAAATAGGATGGAATTTATGTGAAAAATCATCAATAGGAATCTTTTGCACTGGATCAAGATGCTATTGCTTCAGAAGTGAACCCTAGTTTATTACCCTAACCTACTGTATTTAACATACTTACTCTGAACTGGAATTCTGGGGGAAATATTTTATCAAATTTTAATTTTTACTCAAAAAAGACGTATTCCAAGTAAGAATTATGTAAACCATCCCATCACTTTAATTTAGTAAGACAAGACAACGTGAAGCTGCGGACTGTGAAAAAGTGCAGGTATTTGCAGGTATTCATGTCAGCTCTTCTGTTATTCTTGTGTACGGTCCTGTATGTGCCCAAGCTCAATAATGTGAAAGCAGTTGTTACTTACTGAATATTTCTAGAGAAATCTTTTCTGTGAGTGTTCTGGCAGTAACCTGCAGCTCAGCGGAGTATTCCCCTTTGTCTTCAGATGTCAGTGTGTAAATTGTTAGAGATCCATCACTGCAGTTCAGGCTCACTCGACCTCTATAGATGCCATAGTATTGTGCTTTACCATTGCTCTTGATGCATTCCGCAATTTTGTCTGCATTATATTTCCATAATATTTCATCCCAAGAACTGTTAACCTTTAAGTGAATGCTTTCACCCATAAATCCTTCCCGATGTGATGATACTTCACCTTAGTTGAAAAAGAGAGAAACGTTCATCACCACCTCGCTATTGTTAGTTTTGTACCTGTCAGACAATTGCATACTGTGTATGCCTTTATCAATACTATGAAACCAGCTTAAACATACTTTACTTGCAATAGATCTATGAGAATTTGTACTGTTTCTTTGTACTGTTCTGTCAGTAAGTGACTCTGGTGAATGAATTTTATTGTATGTAATGGGTAGAATAATAGACTGAAATAAATGGGATACTACAAATGATAATAGTCTGGTCTATGGATGCACTGGTGATACTGGGAGATGAAAAGAACCTGGAGCAAGTTAATAAGTGGTCTAGCAACCATTATCAAGTTCAAGTTTGTTTGTCAGTCCAGCCATATACAAGTACAGAGGAGCGAGATCTCGTTCTCCAGGTCTACGGTGTGAATACAGACAGACACTGACAAAGACAATGTTGTAGACAATATAGACACAGACACTTCTGACAAGGTACATAGTGCAATGTGCATAGTGCACTTTACTTTACAGGATTGTGCGGAGAATTCATTAGACAATATGCCTGACATTAGGCAAAAAATAACTAAGTTTCCAGATTTGGAGTAGGTGCAGTAGGTACCAGGGTGTTGAGGAGCCTGACAGCCTGTGGAAAAAAGCTGTTATGAAGTCTGGTGGAGCTGGCCCGTATACTGCGATACCTTTTACCAGATGGTAGGAGGGCAAAGAAGTTGCAGGAGGGGTGGGAGGGATCGTCATCAATACTGGAGGCTTTATGTGTGCAGCGTTTGTGGTAGATGTCCTGAATGGATGGAAGAGAGGCTCCAATGTTTCCTGCTGTATTGACAATTCGTTACAGGGATTTGCGGTCTGAGACCTTACAATTCCCAAGCCAAACAATGATACAGTTTGTCAAGATGCTCCCGATGGTACCTCTATGGAATGTGGATAGTATTGGGGGGGGGGGGGTTTGCCCTTCTCAGTCACCACAGGAAGAGGAGACATTGTTGTGCTTTTTTAGCTAGGGATGTGGTGTTGATGGTCCAAGTGAGGTCATTTGTGATATGCACACCAAAAAACTTAGTACTTCTAGCTGTCTCCACAGGGGAGCCGTTGATGTGCAGTGGAGAGTGATCAGCACGGGTCCTCCTGAAGTCAGTTATCACCTCTTTTGTCTTATCAACATTTAGAGACAGATTGTTGTTTAAGCAACAGTCCGCTAGTTTCTCCACCTCCTCTCTGTATGGTGCCTCATCATTGTTACTAATGAGGCCCACCACTGTCGTTTCATCAGCAAACTTGATTATGTCATTTGCACGGTGCTTAGCAGTCCAGTCATGAGTCATCAGTGTGAACAGGAGTGGGCTGAGTATACATCCCTGGGGGGTCCCAATGTTCAGTATCGTGGTACTAAAGACGTTATTTCCTATCCGGACTGTCTGAGGTCTCTCAGTCAGAAAGTCCAGGAGGACTGAAGGAGGG